GCAGCTGCAGCAGAACACCAAGCAGCTGCAGCAGAACACCAAGCAGCAGCAGACCACCCAGCAGCAGCAGACCAGCAGGCGAGCTCGTGAGGCCATAATGTTGGAAATGCTGGGCCAAATTTGGTACGAATAAGGAATTAAAATTAACAGCTTTTCGGGTGCAATGTGCAGGCGGCATTTCTTGCATCATAGCCTTACCCCTCGTACACCACTAGTTCCGATGTGGAGTCAGGTAGCGTCAATTGGCTCTTGCACAGTCGGACTATCGGCACTCAAAGGTTGACAAAACTGCTGTAGAGCGCACGTGGAGTCCAAGTGCTCCCACAGTGTGGGAGGCGCAGCCAAGGCGGCAGCAGACCACCCAGCAGCAGCAGCGGCGGCGGTAGCAGCAGCAGACCACCCAGCAGGATCAGCAGCAACCCCAGCAGCAGCAGCTGCTGCGGCAGCGTCAGCAGCAAACACAACAGCAGCAGCAGCCACAGCAGCAAACCGAGTAGCAGCCACAGCAGCAGCAGCCCACCCCGCAGCAGCAGCAGGAGACGCAGCCAAGGCAGACCACCCAGCAGCAGCAGGAGCAAAATCCAGCAGCACCAGCAGCAGACGAGCACACCAGGCAGCAGCAGGAGCAAACGAGCACACCAGGCAGCAGCAGCTACAGCAGCAGCTACACCAATAAATATGTTTTTTCCACCCGCTCACCGCGCGCGGGGGGGGAGTTGAACCTCCGGAGGGGGGGGTGCATAAGATTGATTTAATCAATTATTTGAAGTTTCTGATGCGCGTCCACCCCATCATTTAACTTGCTAAAGCAAGAGCAACTTCAGCTAGCTAAGGCTAGCTTTCGTGATAATATGGCTTCTATAGATTCAAGGGGCCTGAGCACACTAGCCACTACAACAAAATTATGATATCTTTGGGGTGAGAGACCACCTGATTCTTGACCATCTATAAGGGGACAGGATGTGCAAAGCCAAGGACTGCAAAAATTGCAAAAAAACAAAATTCTTTCTAGAATCAGCTGCGCAACCTCATCAAGCCTAAACTCTCTATAGAATCATAGAACAGTGACATGACATGTCTTTTTGACACAACTAAAACAGATATGTTTCCCTATAAACTCAGCAGCACCATCCTTCTCAACATGTTCTTATGTCTTTAGTCCCTCTGCTCCAAAATCAAGCACGCTAAGCTACTCTTTTTAGACTAGACCTTTTTTAGCCTAATCTGCGCTGCTGAAGCCCCCGATTTCAGACAGCTTATGTTCAAAGTTCACAGGGAATTTGGACTATATGTCAGCTGGCTTCCTCCTCCTTCTCCCGGATGGCAGTGTTCCCCGCAGGACCTCAACCGCAAGTGCAAGATGGCCGCGTTCCCCGCCAGACCTCAACCGCCAGCTCCGGATGGCAGTGTTCCCCGCCGGACCTCAACCGCGAGCTTCGGCGGGCAGTGTTCCCCGCCGGACCTCAACCGCGAGCTTCGGCTGGCAGTGTTCCCCGCCGGACCTCAACCGCGAGTTCCGCTTGGCACTGTTCCCCCCCAACCTTAAACGCCAGCTCTGTGTAGATTATGTGCACTACTTTCATGTTATAGCAGATTGAAATGTCATGGTAAGGATCTGATGTATTTTTTTCAGGACTTCAAGTGGATGTCGCCATCTATCCAAATGAGGTGCTTTGTTACACGCAAGACTGCGGTCAACAGGTACGCAGGCTCCATCTATTAATTATGAAGTCACGGCGAATGCGTATCAGGGAAAGCAAATCAAATGTGAGTCTAGTGCGACATGATCCCAGCAACAACTCAGACTCGCAGTTATGCATGTTAGTCTGTTGACGGACTAGTTGTCCTACACCGGTAACGAACAAATGGGATACTGGTTTTGAGATGCTTTGAGGTATTGTACCACGGCGTGGGTTTCTCATCGATTTGACGAGATCGGACTTTGGTGGTCTGCTGGGAGGGGCTTTGAATTTTCAGCCAATTAACATGGGCGTGTAACTTGAGAATGGTCCTTGTGGCTCAAAGAAGGAAGAATGCAGCAACGCTGGATGTATTGATTGGTTTGTTTTTTGATTCCACCAACCAAACCAAGAATACTGTGGATAACTTCATTCTATTCAATAGCCTTGTTTTGGAGATTCCCCAAAACCGAGTCACTTTGGGCTACTGCTGTGAGAAGCCAATGCAGACTGTAGACATCTGCAAACAGTATACAGCCCACACACGCTATGCAGTGTGAAGGCTGGGTCATGAGTCATAGGGTCAGATTCGGGTAAGTCAAGTTCGGATGCCCTCTTGACAATTGCAAATCACCAATTTGGTGTGTGACACCTTTTGCCCTCCAGTTTTTCCATCTCAATATTTGCCTACTCAGTGAGCAATGCTCAGTGCCTTTCTCTGAGTCCATCCTTGGAGCTTTGCGCTGACTCAAAAGTGCTCCAAGAAAATGGACCCACCAAGTGGACAACACTGTCATCTTAAGCTATTTCAGCCCGGTCATCAAACAATATGCAAGATTTCCCAAATAAATAACTTGGCCATCCCCGGGCCATCCCCCCATCCATTCATCAATATAGGGATCCAATTCCCTTTCAATGTGTCTTCCATTTTCTTGTTGCGAATCACTGGAGTGTCCCCAAACTTTCTGCAGGCTATTGAATCGGAGCTCCATGGATTTCATGGATCCATCTGGATCCATTGATCCCTGGCTCCTGCACAGTCTGGCTGCTGTGACCTCGTGCACGCTGGGCCAAACGTGATGCCGCCGAAGCCGCTGCTGCCGCGGCACGCGGCTGAGGAGCCAGGCGAGCGGCGATCCTGCGGCATGTGCAAGGATTGGCGGATCAGAAAAGGGCCGGGGCACGTGTTTTCTTTGGTACGTTTTACCACGAAAAAGTTAGGGCATGAACAAGCAGGAGAGAAGCGTCGTCCATGATCGAAAGTCGTCAGCTTCTCTGTTGGGACCTCTGAAGAGTCCTACTTACTGTCTTCCTTGTCAAAGCTGCTTCATACTGGTCACGCTTGTACACATGAGGTCCAAGCCGGCCTTGACCCACGTTTTTGTCAAGCAAAGCCACTTACGTAACGTGTCTGCTGACCAACGGCAAAAGGGTTCTGAATATCTGAAACATGTCCAATCAATTGAAGGACAGCAGTTTGTATAAAGGCAAAGGGCCACAAACCATTGCAAGAAAAGACTCTCTTAGGGACCCTAAGAGGGATCCCAAAGACATCAATTCTAGGGAGCAACTTGCCGATCTTTGGCCCTTTACGTTGTAGGAAATTCTAGGGCGTTGACCCTCCATCTATGATGACAATGATGACTGATGACCCAGTTTTTGGCGGATTCAGGAAGTAAACCTTCATTGTTGGAGATGGTTGTTAGCAACTCCGGATGCCCACACAAACAAAAGGTCCCGAGTCCTGAACTTGCCTAACCTGAGAACCACTGCATATGTCAACGATGTGGCTAAATGACATGTTATCACAGTCTTCCAAGGCACCTTTCTTCAGGTTCCAACGCTGATGGAGCTAGGGGTTTTCGAAGCCTCCTTCCCATTCCCACCTGCTCAACATTCTTGCATCCGGCGGACTTGTGCTGTCAGTGCGAACCAAAACGGCTGCACCGTGGTGTCGGGCAGCGTCCAGACTTTGCTCTGCAAACGTGGCCAAAGGTTGATCGTATGATCGAACCGGCTGGTCCGGCACACCTCCAGCGACGAAACGGATGGTGGGGATTTCCTCGCCTTTCCATTATAATGGCCACATGCATTCTGTCCACTTGGTCTTTTAAAACTGATAGTATATTATTATTAGGTTGAGTTCGCATCATGCTTATCTCCCACACCTCGACATATCCTCAGAACTGGCGCGGATGGAGTGATTTGAGGTGCAGGTATCTACCCTACTCTGTTGAATCTGGATGACAGTCTCCAGTACTTGTCCGAGAGAAAATCCAAAGCTTTACTTATAAAGAAATCACATTGTTATAATTAGCAGGGAAAAGTCATGTTGAGAACCGCTACACTCCTGGCACTTGCCCATGTTCCATCGTGTTCTTGCAAGTCGTACCTAGGACCTAGGAAAGTATTCCTTTTGTCAACGAGCAAGAAGGCAGGGAAGTGCCAGACTGCAAGGGTCGACGAATCTGACCCCGCGCAGTAAGATGTGAAGAAAAGGGTCTTCCCGTTCCACACCAACTCCTGACTGTCGTGGAGTGACTGCGTCAAAAAAACTTCTCCGACTCCTGGCACGTCAACGCGTACATGGCGCAACACGTGGAGTACGTGGCGCGCCTGGCAGGATCCATCGAGGCTCCTGCGCTTGAGAGCTGTACACCCTCACATCTTGGTTTGTTACACAAAGACTATGTATAAAAACCATGAAGATCCATTTGCAGTTGCCAGTTCTTTTCTGCTCCCTAGAAAGGGCTAATTTCAGTGCATGTCAGAAATGCAGGGTCTATATAAAGTCTGTCTTGGCTGGCCAGAGCTCATCGGCTTTGCGTGGCTTTACACCCCAGCAGTCGCCTTGCCAAGCCTCGCGCCAGCCGCCCAAAGATCAACCAGCGAGGCGTATGGCTCATCCGAGCCTCACGCCTGTCAGCTTCCATCTGCATGTGGGTCCACTCCCCCTGAATTATCGGCTCAGGGAGCCATCGTAGTCGCAGTCGTCGTCGGTAGTAGGTAGTAGGTAGTAGGTAGTAGGTAGTAGGTAGTAGGTGGTAGGTAGTAGGTAGTAGGTAGTAGTAGGTAGTAGGTAGTAGGTAGTAGGTAGTAGGTAGTAGGTAGTAGGTGGTAGTAGGTAGTAGGTAGTAGGTAGTAGTAGGTAGTAGGTAGTAGTAGGTAGCAGGTAGTAGGTAGTAGTAGGTAGTAGGTAGTAGATGGCCAGGGACACAGGATCAGATTAATAGGGGGTAGTAGTGCAGATTATTGATGGGGGACCGGCCCTTGTGAGGGGTACCCTTTGTGAGCTTGTCAAATGATTGTTTTTAATTGTTTTTAAAAAAGGCAATTTATAGGCCCTGAGCCCTAGACATTTTTAAGGATTTCATCAAACATGTAGTAGGTAGTAGGTGGTGATGGTGGTGGTGGTCGTGGTAGTAGCACGTAGCAGTAGCAGTAGCAGTAGCAGTAGCAGCAGCAGCAATAGCAGCAGCAATAGCTACAGCAGCAGCAATAGCTACAGCAGCAGCAATAGCTACAGCAGCAGCAATAGCTACAGCAGCAGCAATAGCTACAGCAGCAGCAATAGCTACAGCAGCAGCAATAGCTACAGCAGCAGCAGCAGCAGCAGCAACAGCTACAGCAGTAGCTAGTAGCAGTAGCAGTAGCAGTAGCAGCAGCAGCAGCAGCAGCAGGAGTAGTAGCAGTAGTAGTAGCAGCAGCAGCAGTAGTAGTAGCAGCAGCAGCAATAGCTACAGCAGTAGCTAGTAGCAGTAGCAGTAGCAGTAGTAGCAGCAGCAGCAGCAGTAGTAGTAGTAGCAGTAGTAGTAGTAGCAGCAGCAGTAGTAGTAGCAGCAGTAGCAAGTATAATGTCAAGTCAGGATAAATAAACCTCCACTAGTTAACCCCTTATTAAAAGTAATATTATTCTTTTTTGGATTGTGTAGGCTCGGATTAACTGGGGGGGGTTGTTGGTAGAAAATTAGACAATAGGGGGGGGAAATCAACAGCGAATAATACTTTTAATTTGGGCAATTTCCGGCGGCTTTGTGGGCTCGGATTAACTAGGGGAGGTTTATTAATCCTAACTTTGCATTACCAAATATCTTTGGCCTGACGATCACAGTTGATTTGCACCTTGGCTCTTTGACCTTTGACAAGGCCTTGACCTGTCGAATCCAACCGCTGAAGATACAGTATCCTGTTCCACACCAACCGCACGGACTTTGAAACATAGTGGGGAACACTTGGGATGCACTTGGGAATCCCTCAGGACCACTGGAACCACTTGAAAAGCGGAGTTCTTAGACAGGATTTGGTCCACCAGTCGAGCAAACCCCCAAAACAAGCGCAGGTCTAGGACACAGCAAACCCCCAAAACAAGCGCAGATTAGGTTGGTGGTCTTTTGAGCTCGACCTGGACATCTTCCCAAGATCGAAACCTCTATGGAATCCATGATTTGCTGCCAATCTGACCTTGAATCCAAAGGTTGGCACATGTCCCGTCATAGATGAACACATGACATACAATCAGCAAATCTGCTATCCTCTTCGCCTGGAGTATGGAGCGGTCTATGGATGTCTTTCTTTCGTCTTCAGCAGGCAACATGCTGAATGTTGATCTAGTGAGCCAAATAGTGTGGCAAACACAATCGAAAATCCGCTAAACATCGGGTTGCTGAGCAGAAGGGTCATGGGAATAGATACTTCTTCAAACGTGGGGAGTCTTATTAGCAATGTGTCTCCAACCTAATAGTGATGGGCTTCACTGGGCCTTCACCCTAGTAGCGATGGCCTCCAACCTAATGGCGAAGGCCTCCAACCTACTAGCGATACAGTAGAGGGAAACATTGACATGACACCAAAGACCTGAACCTGACACAGCTTGCTCGAGCTCTTGGATTGCTATTCAAATTCATGGGGTGACTCATGTGACTCTGTGCCTGTCAATGAAGATCTCCTTGATCGCTGCCGCCAAACGCTCCACCTGCAAACCGAGGATGACTCAGGTGTCGCTGGCCGAACATAGCCTACCAGCAAACAACATCAAACAAATTGATTGAGTACTTGAACGCTGAAGGAACAAGAACAACACGCTCCAATATGTTATAGCTGAAAAGTTAACCAAACGTGATGGTCCATGATCAATCCCGTTGCCAAGTCAGAGTAGGATGGTGAGATGAGTTCTATTATACTATACTCAATAAATCACCTGACATAGCTTCATTGCAACTATTTTGTTCACCAACTTCATGTTCACTTTTAGGAAGGGTACACCCATGTTTGCACTTTCCCATGGTTGCAAGCAAAGCAACCATGCCCAAGCATGCCTAGGCTTCTGGTGTTCGAATGTCCTGCTGTGGAGTTCAACATTGTTCTGGACCTCTGAACAGGATCTGGCGTCGACAACTGCAAGCTCCGCTCAAGCTAGCCAGTCAAGGGGAGTGATCAGGGAAGACCTGACCTAGCATCCATCATCAGCAGGTCCCAGCTCTTCCCCCCGGTTAGCGGTTAGCCAAACACTCGACACTATTACAAACAGGTTCTCAGTTCTCCTTTGTGTGTATTGGAGTCAGGGCCCATACCCAAGCTTGTAAATCTTCTCAACGAGTTGTTCTAAAGCAGGGTTCCTTGTATGTCCTCATCTTCCATGGATTCCATCACCCTCCGAGGTACCTGGTCTCTGCTCAGCACGAACATGTGACATGCCCCGGAATCCTGCCACCTCCCCCAAACACCCTCACTTCGAGATGTCTTTCTTGCCTGGAGCTGCAAGGGGTCCTTGGCATTCAACTCCAACGGTGACCGCTCCTGGAAAAACGGCTTGGCAGCAGACTTCGTGCTGAGTCCTCCGATGTCCTTTGGCACTCCATCGTCAACGAGGACAATATTTACACCGGACGAAAGCCTGCGTTACTGGAACTGAAGCACATCTCAGCGGAACTTTGCACCCCATAAATGGGGGTTCAAACCGCTCCGTGTTGAACTCTAGGACCAAACTCTGTCTTATGTGCAGCTTGGGGATAGTCTCGCACAGGCATCATTTAGAATCTAGAATCTAGCGGAAGAAAGCGGGGGATAGAATTCCAGGACGCGGCGTCCTACTCTCAAACCATGTGGTTTAAGGAAGAATAACGACCATTCTGCTGTATTTCCCAGCTCTTCCACCTGGAACTCCCAAAATTAATCCGCTGATTCACAAAATTCTGGCTTGAAACATTTACTGATTGACTCATAGCAGGCCTTTCCCTGTCCTGCTCCACAATGGCTGCTGCCATGCGCTGGTTCACGGCTTGCCCCGCCAAGGTCCTCCGGGCCGCTGAAGGCTGGAGCCGGGAAGAAGGACCATCAATGCCGGACAAACTGATGTAGTCATCCCCTAGTAGCGTCCTTGCTCCTAGTAGCGATGCCCTTTGCTCCTAGTAGCTTCTTGCTCCTAGTAGTAAGGCCAGGAGCCCCTAGTAGCGTCCTTGCTCCCACAAGTTTGGGGTCAAAAACATTATTGAAATCACACCCGGGAGAGAGCGAGGAAGATCAGTCGTATGGCTTGCTGACAAACAAATGCAGGATTTTCCAGGATCCCCCCAATCTCCACCAACCCCCAAAACCAAGACACTCTTGGACATGAACAACAAACCGCCTGCAAAGGGCCTAGCGAGCTTTGGTCCAGCAGGGCAGGACAATCCTACACTTTATTCTTATTACTATATATATAAATATATGTATATCTGGATGATTTATCACGGGCTCAGTGCAAAACGAGTTCTTGGCGTATCACAGGAGCCATCAAACCGCTCTCTTTTGTAGAATGAGAATGCCATCAGACTCGTGATAGCACGATATGAATGACTTCGGAAGCCAATCAAGAATGGCGCCTGTGCCAAACAAACATCGTGTAGGTGCTTCCTGCCCACACTCTGGTATGCTTGGAAGAAGGATGAAACGCTTCATTGAATCTTGAAAGTAAATTAATATTCTTGCCGTAGTGGTGTCAGTCAAAATTGGATACTACCGCAATCACACACTTGCAAACATGTTGTTGTAAGTTTCCCTATACATATCTAGGAACTAATCACTAGTGCGAGCGCTATCCTGCGTAGCTACCTCTTCTACTAGCTGCCGACTCCCTAGCCATTACCTTCTAGTAGCGGCCTACCCCCCCCTTAAAAATACAAATAATCATGCTAACTCCAACACTTTCCGCACACGCTGCGGAGGTGAACAACCCCCCAAATCCACATTACATAAGTTGGAAGCTGGAGGTTCTGCCCAGAATGTGTTCAATCCCGGTGAAGAATGGGCCCAGCAAGATGAGGCCCTTTGTATCACCCGATTGACGCCACCCGTCTCTCGAGATGGGCATCCAGGGCATCCCACCTGACATCAAAGACCTCTTGCATGACCCGCACCTGTTGTTCCTGCGCAAGGGATGGGCAGTAGGCAAAAAACGCAGGATTCTTTGGGCTAGGGCCGGCTCGGGACTGAAGCATCAATTGCATTCTGCAAGTACTTTGTCAACCAGGTACCTGGAACCTATATGACAAGTGAATGAAAAAAATCCTCAACCCGCGAGGCTATGACTATGAGGTGCACTAATCCTGGACCCATTGGGCCTCCATGAGGCTAACAAACCCTTGTTTTACTTAGATATACTGATATACTATACTTAGATTAGAGATGAGCGGTCTATCTGGCAAATGCAACTGGGAGAAGCACTTCTTCTTGGCCTTAAAACGATCAACTGTGTGGAATGAATTGATGGAGTTCAAACTGCCAATCGTCAGCATGTTGGATTGTTTGGACTTTTCGAGACCTCCCCAGTCCTACCTAGTACCAGGGCACCCTTTCTTTCCAACGCAGTTACTGTAAATTGCTCTAAAATTCCTATAGACATCCAGAACTCTCATGCCCAAACTGCACAGTCATGACAACTCCTTTCTCTCAGTATCATGTCATGTGCTTTTGAGTAAATCCACAGTCCTCTGACAAGGAAAGCAGATCACCTGACAAGAGGCTGGCAACTCAGGACCTTGAATAATTTTGAGTGAGCGCCTCACCCCTTTCCAGGATCCCGTACGAATGACACAAGAGGACTGTGTTTTTGTTGTCTACATGAAACAAACAAAACACACATGATTTGACTCGGGTGACTCTGAAAACAAAGCCTTGCAAACCTCCAATCTATTGCAAATGAGCTATGTCACATAACCGATTCTCGTTCTGTTGGCCATCCACTCGGATCCGCACGGTCCGGAGCCTGAACGACTGCAGGCGTCACCAGGTCCCCCGACTTTCAAGGCCTTGTTGCAAGAGCGCTCGCGACGCCTGTGGACGGGAGCTGCTCGATGTGGTCGGCTTGGTTCAGGCTCCCTAGTTTTGAGCATCGATTAACCACCAGGGAACCGCTGGTGGTCATGAAAAAAGAGCCGTCATTGGCTGAAAGACTCCGAGTTGGAGACACGTCCGACACAAAAGAAGACCTAGCCAAGTTAATGTTGGCATATTTTGGCAGGCACTAGGGAAAGACAAAACAACCATCTGGCCCATTGGACTCATAGCCACATCTGCCCGTAGTAGAGGGAAAATACAATGGATCCTCATCACACACGAATATCGTAACTGATGAGGGATTGCCATCCACACGCCTCCATGACTGTTCCAAAATCCTTTGGTGTCAACCCCATCTGCCGGCACGGTCCAGTCAAGGTGTTCTCGCAAGCTGCTCAAGCTGTGTGTGTGTGTGTCACGGCAGATCAACAAGCTAAACAAATGATCTGCAAATAACGCCTTTTGACGGTCCAGGTCCATCCTGCAAATGATTTGCCAGACTTTCCTTTGGAAGGACAAACTCTCCAGTTGACCAGCTGGACCCTTTCGAAAGCTTGGCTGGCTCAGTGTTGCAACCCTGCCGGCGTCAACAGCACCGTGCACGGGTCGGCGGCCCTCAGTCGAAACTGGTGAAATGACAAGTGGCAAATCCCTTGAGAATTATTGGCTATTCAACACTGCTTGATTTGAATTGATGTGTCGTAAATTCTGGTGGGATGGGTCCTGGTCCTGGAATCACTGGAATGACAAGTCGTTACCAGTGGATACCACTGGTTTGTCTTAACATCTGGCTAGTGTACCCATCCGAGTTGCTAGTGAGGGCGGCAAGCAAAGACTGGCCTTTTTCTTCTCTTGAGCTGCTCGCAACTTGGCATCTGGCTGGTGGTATTGCAAAGATGCGTCACTCGGTTGCCTGGTTTCGGCCCAACGAAGTCATGCCATCTCGTGCGGTGCGTGTCGTTGTGCCTTGGAGATCATTTACTCTGTCATGGAGACAGTACCATGGAGGCAACTTTCAGTAGTTGATTGGTCTCACTTTGGAAGGCCGTGGAAACACGTGGAAACTGGAAACAGGATCTGGAGAGAAACGCATATGGGTTGCGGCGTCTTGACCTACATCGATGCCATGTCCAACTATATGAGGCCATACAGATCCTTCGTGTAGTTGCGTCGCTCCGTTGGACATCCATCCGCCGTGGGCCATGTCTCCCTGACGGAGATATCATCACGCATGTCACCAGAAGTTTGCAATCACTGGAAACACAATTACAGTATATAATGTTTTGTCCGCAGGTATAAAGTTTCTATCCTTTCACATCATATGCAACTTTGCACACGTAGTACACATGACATGCAAGGGAATTATCATAGACCTGTCAAGAATATTGCAAGCCCTGAAGAACAGAACTAGGGGGAGACTGTGGATCGCAGCCCCGCCATGTCAGTTCAACAATGGTACCTATTGCCCTCATGGGCAGCGGCTTTTGAAGATCCTTCCCTTGGCTTTTTGCTTCAACCATTTTTTGAGCTCAAAGGTACTAACATATGTAATTAATCATTCTATTTCTTGAGGTTTGGTCATGTGTAGCTGACCTTGGACACTAACCAAAGAGAGAATACCCATCCAAGGATAGATGAACACTTGACCCTCCAAAAAAGACCAGTGGAATATGGATTGGGGGATATGCTAGTCGACAATTGCTCAAGCATCGGTCAACCAATGAGCGATCAACAAACACACCTGCTGTCTGCTGTTCTACTTCACCCAAGACACAGAACGGATATGATCGGATCGCTTGTTCTCAGTGCTCTTTCTGAGGCACCATGCTTTTGATGTTCCGGCGTGGCAAATCTGGAGCAAAGGCCCTTCCAACAACTTCTAGTGATACAACCTAGAAGTATAGGTCCCTTTCCAACCAACAGAGTTACAGTAGCTTGTGCTTTGGAAAAAGAGACGATTTTCTTTCTGCAGAGCCTTCCCAAGGCAGGGTGGCAATACCTCAAAAAAGTGCCGACATTGTCTTTTGCCTGTAGTTACTAAGGACAGTTTGGAGGGCCGTCGCAAGAATTGAATGCTGAGGTGAGTCGTAGCCGGTTGGGAGGTTTAGCGGCCAAACCAGTTTAGCCAACTTCGGCGCACGAGCGCTGCGGTCATTCAGGGGTCGGGCAAACTAGGTCAACCATCAAACAAAGATTAAAACCATGACAAAATGATCAAGTTTTAACTTTAGCACTGGCTTGCATCGCTAGTAGGTTGACTTCACAGGCGACCCCTGGCGAGAGATCTTTCCGACCCCTGGCGACCTCAAGATTTCTATCTGCTGTGGGCACAGTCTGCTCAAGACCAAAAAGGATCCTCTTCGTCTTCTTCGTAGAAGTCCTGCTCTTCCTCAAAGGCACCTGACACACAAAGAAAGCCAGCAGGACCGAGCTGCTATAGTCTAAGTCTAATGATAGTTCTCCTCCTACCTCTCAGTTTCCATGCATTGCTATGTTCTATGTTCTTCAGTAGATGGTAGGTCGGCAAAACAAGACGTTCATATCAATCAAACCTGCTCCGTCCACATCCATTCCGTGGCTTTGCCCATGAAGAAGGAACATAATTAGTCTTCTACATGTATGTGTGGCGAGACCTTCACTGACTTATTGTCCACTTTCCCCTTTCGTTGCCTTTCGTGTGAGAAAGACACCCTGGAAGTCTGATGTGACATGCAGCTGGTGGTTTTCTTTTTTTACGGCCCTCTTCAGCCGCCCAATGCTGCAGGATTTCGCCCAGCAACCATTATTCCATGCGTCTTTGGAGGAAACTGCCCGGTAGCAAAGCTAAGTGGACAAAAGCGTGGGCATCTAAGAAGTTTCATGGTGCGGGAGAACTTGTCTGGTCAGTCAACAACACTTCAGGAGGAAGTGAGCTTTAATCCTTGGTCTTCTGCTGACAAAGGCCAGTTCTGCTTCTACTGGCTTCTACTATAGGGGAAATATCCATCAACGGCTTGTGAGTCGACAGTCAGTATACAGTAAGCATCCTCCCCTCCCTCCAACAAACTTGGAAGTGGAAAAGTTTTTTTTTGTGCAGGGATATGGTAAATCGTCCTGCAAAACACATATTAATACATATTCCGCTTGCATCGTCCGGATCATTTCAGAACCAGTCCCTTCCCGCCTTTCAGGTCCTCCTCGTCTTCATCACGCCGTGGCGTCTCGGAAGACAGGGAGGGAGACCGCTGGAGACCAATGACCATGAAATGAGATGAACAAATTGTCCTTTATTGATCATTTTAGCAGTCATATGCCATATGCAGTCATAATGTCAATGGACTGACCTGTATCCGTGGTAAATAAAGCCTGTAGATTAGATTGACACGCTCACTATGGCATCAGGCCATGTAGCTGAAAGGTCCGTGTCTGCTGACCATATTGGCATGGTTCCGCTTCAACTGAGCTCCCAAACGATATCGTTGGGGTCCGTGAGCTCCTGCCAACGCGGGCAAATGTGGTCCAGGCGAGACGGACGTTTCAGTGACCCTCTGGGAGTACGAAGGAAGAAATCCTGGACCTCAAAACAAGGAATCGGACTTGCTCCGTTCGTAGCGTCCTTGCTCCTAGTAGTAAGGCCAGGAGCCCCTAGTAGCGTCCTTGCTCTTAGTAAACAAGGAATCGGACTTTCTTTGGTAAACCAGTGGTTCCCTAATCAACTATATTCCTAGAGGCCTACAGGGCCTAACCAGCAGAATTGTCCAAGTAGTTACTCAAAACTAGGATAGCCTGAACACTGGATTGCATGAGCTTGTAATTGTACCAAAATCTACCAAGTAGTTCCTGGGCCCCCAACCTATTCTGATATTTTTTGGAAGGATTGTTTACTGATTTTTTCTCACATCCCACATCGGCATGCCACTGGGCACACACAGCTCCTTGGTGATGCGCAAATTGCCAAAGCCTCGTGCATCGTCTGGCTACCAAAGAGACTGATAGCATGAGACATAGTTGATGATTGAAAAGGTAAATGAAAAGGTGATTCTCTGTCTGTGGTGCAACAGCAACTCAACCTGAGTATACTACACCTCAATATACAATATATATATATATATTTGCCAAATAGAGTAAAACACATGTGTGTATACGTAAATATAAAAATGACTATAGCTAGTAATCAGTACCTCCATCCAACAAACATGGAAGTGGACAATCCCCTCTTCGTAGAGGAAAATTGTCTTTCCAGGGGCCATTTCCCCCTCCATGATTGTTGGAGGGAGAGCAATCAAGGTGTGAAATGTAGATGTGTCATGTTGATCCTCGAGTCAATCTGCAAAGACATTGATTCCAACCTAGGAAGCAAACTGCATGTCAAGAACCAATAGAGGTGATGATGATCTGAAGATCGATTTAGTAGACGGTAGAAACAGCAACATCTGGAACATTGGAAAGTAGGGTGCTGCAAATCAGGTCAACCCCCAGTTCTTCCCCAAATCAAGCAACCTAAAAAATCAGATTCATCATAGCTTACTCTCCAAGACACCAAATACAGGAAAGACTTACGGTTGCTTCTCTAAGCAGCATTGCCTCTGAGAGGGACCCAGCACCCAATGTACATGATACTTGGAATCATACTCAATTGCGGGCGTTTGACCTCCGTTTTCTTTATAAACATTCAATTTAAGAGGTACATATCAAATGAATGCGCCAGGAAGAATAAGGTGACATCCATCAAAATGAACTGAAAGCTGTATAAGTCCCCTGAAGGTAAACTGTTGTTTGCTCAAATAATCAATCTATAGGCTTGCAAATCCGGAACAGACTGTTCTCCACATTCTCTTTTCTCCCATGTAGACAGGCCAGTTATTCTACTACAGTATAAGCTTCCTAACACACATCTCATGTTGGAGACTATAAAGTCATAATAGCCATCTATGTGGCTACTGGCTCTTAAGCCAAAACCCTGGTACTCCCGGCACTAACAAGACAGACTTTAGTAAGTCTGTCTTCATGGCCATGTCGTCGTAATGATAATGGCCACTCCAAGGAAAAAATGTGAGATGAATCAGCAACCTTGTGTACAGGAAAGTAGTCTGCATTTGCATCTATGTGTTGTTTTGCGTGAAACTCTAGACCTAGTTACAACAAATTCTCTGCACATTCATTGCATATCTGCATATCATTCTAAGTGCCGCTCCTTCTTCACGAAGCACTTCATGAAGCGGCACCTTCTCATAATCCTGGTTGTCATCCCTGGCCGAAATGCCCCGGGGCCCGGTCTGGTGAACTGCAGGCTTTTGGGCCTTAGGATGCCTTAGGTCCGGTGTGCTTCTGATCCGGCAAAGAGAACCTTCTTAAAGGCCAGGAGCACGGGAAACTCCCGCAAGCAATCACAGTGA